GGGGGGGGGGGGCCTCCCATCCTCAAGCAAGGAAACCACAACTTCCATTCAAACCTGCTCCCTTTTCTTCCCTTTCCCGCACCCGCTTTTCATCCACCCCAACCGCCCACCCCCCCCAACCCCCGGAGGGGGTTGCAAAATAAATGCACCCCAGGATGTTGGGGCTGCAAGGACAGTTTGGGTAGAGGAAATTGAGCTTGCAGACAAGATAATCTGCCAGCTCCTGGCTCTGTAGCTCGGTGTTTCAAGAGGAAGAGGTAACGAGAGCCCGGACGCGGCGGTTGCAGGCTCAGCCCGTGGCCCGCACACCCCGCTCGCTGCGAGGGAGGAATTTAATCTGCCACAACCACGCAAATCCCTGCGTGCCCCCGATTCCCGTTTCTCTCTCCCCTCCCTGAACATCCTCGTGATTCCCCCCTCCGAGGTGAGCCAAGGGCCAGGGTGAGATACGGCCCCAAAAACACCCAGGATGGGGGCCAGGAGTTGCCTCCCCGCGCAAGCAGCCGGAGCTGCCCAGGGGATGAAGCACCCATTGCCCCAGCCTGGCTGGCTCCAGCTCACCCAGCTAGCCCGGCCAGCGGCCCCCCTCACTGCCTGCCACCCACCCACAGCCCCATTGCCAGCCCAGCTTCCAGGCAAGCAGCTGGACTCAGGAATGCAGCCGGATTCCTCGGCTTAACCCCTGCGCAACCGCCCGGAAAACGCCGCAGCCCCGGCAGCTCCCGTCCCTTCCATCACTTCCCCATCGCCCCAGAACCCATCCAGCCCCACTAGTGTCCCCTTCCCAGCCACACTCCCCTCACCTCCCACTTCCCCTCTTCTTCTGTTCCTCCCACTGGCACTTTTCCACAGCCACCCTTGCTAAGGGCACCGTGGCACGTCCCCCACCCGCTTGCCCCTCATGCCCAGGGATGCTCAGCTCCTGGCGACCACCTCTCGGCTGGTGGAGATAAAAATGAGCCAATTTGCTGATTTTTCAGCCCGAAAGAAGGGCTGATTTGCTCCTGCCTCCAACGAGCTCCTGTCTCACAAGGGGAAGCCAGGCAGTGCACTCACCAGCTCTTCCAGTTCAGCCAGGTGCTTCTCGGTGATGATTTGTTGGCAGTAGCTGTTCTGCTCTGTCTCATGGATGCTGCAGAGCAGGAGGAGGAGGAGGGACGAGAGCAGTGTGCAGGGGAGCAGGCACACCTGAGCACGGCAGAGCAAAGGCTTGGAGCAGGGGAAAAAACCCAC